TGCTGTTCAACCACGTGCTGATGTGCTCCGTCGAGTGCGTTAGATGCGGAAAGCAGGTTCGTTACGCGAGGTGTCACCAGAGAAGCACTCCATCGGGTTCCTTACGGGGGCAATGACGCCGGCTACCAATACCAATGTCGTCCACGCCGTGTCCGACCGAATGGAACGTGTGTACGACCCACAGGACAGGCGCACCAAAGAGGCCCTTCCAGTGACCGCATGCGTATCGACACAAAAGGCGCGCATGGAGACTGCAGGGATGCCAGGTAGCGGGTGGGAAGTCGATGTCGACTTGAAGATATGCGGCTGCCGCATATTCTTCAAGTCGGGCTACTGTATCCATCTTATTCACGCGCTCTCGGTACGGAACCGCCTGGACATCTTTTGCCGGACTCGACTCGTGTACAGGGGCCGCAATAAAGCGCGCCGTGCGCAAACTGAGCAGCAAAACACTGGAAGACCTGCAAACAATGGCAGAGCACTGCAGTTAGATTAGTTTCCGTTAACACCAATCACACATCCAGTGACTCGTACCTCCAGGCCCCCTCACACCCACCCGCCGACCGCCACCATTTCCTACTCCGTGCACTACTTAGCACGCCATCCCGCAATAATGTCCCACCACCGCTTGCTGCGGCTCTCCCCGCGCGATCATCAACCCAACGCGGCGTGTGTTGCTGTCCGTGCGTCGCTCACGTACGGGTTTCTCCTATTATAATAGCGAGCATTCTGGCCGCCCTTTCGGGTTCATTTTACTTCAGGAAACAGGAACTGTGCAGATGGAGGCGGTGGAGCGGCGTGATCTGGATGTAAGGCAGCGAATGACGCGCTTGCTGCTCGTGGGAGTTATCTGTGTCCTTCAGGATAGCCGCGAGAACGTCCTCCGCGCGACTCGTGCCGGTGGCACCTGAGGGGGCAGGATTTCCAAAATGAATGGCGTTGCTGCACCCTTAACTACGTCTACACGACAGGCCTTAGAGCACCCTTAAACCACTTCGGCGCCCTTAACTGCTGCCGTTAGGGCGCCCAAAACCTTTGGTGCCATTATGGTACTGATTAAATTACCGGAAATTTAAAACTAGAAGCGAATTATCATCATCAGCACGCGTTGTTGTCAAATTTGTTGCATGTACAAGAAGAAGTAAACATAAGAAGAGGAATATGACCAACAGCACAAGTTTCATCAAGAAAGTGGCATTTTGTTTTGTTAACAGACTACTGAAGGCTACAAGTTAAACGTGATCATTGTGGGAGCAGCACTTTACTAATCTCTTGGTTCGTCTTCTGCATTTCCTTCAAATTCTTCTCGCTATGTGGTATCATCTTCGTCGTACACAGCAGCAACCAGGCTAGTCTTAGTCGTATCACGCTTACGTAGGCTTCTGTCACCCGATGGCGTTCAAACCGATGTGTGTTGCGCAAGTATGCGTACACAATGCCCAAGACCATTACCCCACAGCATTTTAAATCAGGTTGCGAGGGCTTGGCGATCCACTTCACGATAATTTGCTTCGGAAAAGGCTCTTTTGAGCCACTTTGGCTGTGCCATTTCTCCAGATATGGCCGCAACTGGTAATCCCATGTATTATCCAGTTCTTTTCGGTAACAGTGATCATGTAGGGGCTCATAGAAATACACCGTCAGTGTTGTCGGGAACGTGATCTCCACAATGATGACTCCCCAGTAATTCGAACTTAAATTTATGGGCATCACCACATAAGATGTCTCCGATAGCCATTGTCTTGGTGGTTTAGGCCACCCTGCAACCAATGTCAATGATGAAAATGTGATACAACCATCCACACTTTCAGCAATCATTCTGATTCCGAAATCAATCACGGCGTCGTTCAGTAATCCATCGCGTAGAA